TAGGCCTAAGTGAACTTTTAAGAAGTAGAGAACTATATATATATATGGTGTTTATGATATACCTATAATCTCTATAGTGTGAAGAATTTGTTGTACAAACGTTTAACTTGTTCCGAATATATATATATATTATTTTGAAAACAACTGTAGTGCGTGCTGTTCATTTACCCTTGAATTTATCGCTAACAAGTTACAGACACCTACTGTAGAAGAATCCTAAGCCCAACAACAACATAATATATATATTTATACTGTTAAGAAATATAAATAAAAGCCTCTTATTTTGACAATTGGCGGAAAAGAAGAAGATATATTTTAAATTCTGACAATTGGCCAACCACATCTAGGATTATACAGTGGTAAACGGCGATAGAAGAAAACGTGAACGACAGCGGAAATAACTAGCCCTATATACTCACAACTGTAGTAACGAAAATAGTGTATGGATTACAATCACGTTATTAACCATGCCAAATTTTGATAAATTGATAGAAATTGGAGAACGTCTTGGGTTAAAAACAGTGAACTACGAGAGTTTCTTAAACAACAACAAGAACGGCAACAGAAGAGACAAATTGAGAAAGAAGAAAGAGTAAAAGAAGAAAATGAAAGAAAGGAGAGGCTAGAAATAGAGAACATAAATTGAGAAAGAAGAAAGAGAGAAAGAGGAGAGACGAGAAATAGAAAGAATAAGAGCAAAAATTGAAAAAGAAGAAGAGAGAGAGAGGAGAGACTGCAAGTAGAGAATAAGAGCATAAACTGAGATAGCAAAACTCACCCAATGGAAGGAAAAAAAGGACCCAAGAATGACAATAGAGTAAGGGCTAGCCGAACTAAGCTGCTCAAAGTTGATTAAAATAACAATGAAATGAATGCTTTCCTGGAGAGATATGAAAGATTCTCCCAAATTCAGAACTGGGACAAAGGCGACTGGGCAGTCTGTCTCAGCCCACTTCTCACAGGAAAAGGCCTACAAGTATATACAGTCATGACATCAGGAGATGCTATGGACTGACAAATTAAAAGTAGCTTTATTGAAACGATATGAACTTACTGAAGAAGGTTTTCGTCGGAAGTTCAGAGGAGTCAAACCCGACACTGGAAAAACTGTATTTCAGTTTGTGGCACGTCTGCGGCGATATTTCACCAGATGGACTGATATGGCCATGTGTGAAAATAGTTTTGAAGGACTGGCAGACGTATCAGTATGTGAGCAATTCATGACCACGTGTTGAACTGACATGTCACCATTCCAAAAGGAAAGAGCACCAAAAGACGTTGACGATATGATCAAGCTTGCAAAACAGTATATGGAAGCCCATGGAGGTAGTATAACTGGCAAGTCCAAGAATGTCCAGTTAAATTTGAAACCAGTAATGGCTGACCAAAGCAGGAGGTTACCAAAGGTGACAGGAGGTTAATAGACAGAAGGGAGAAGAGATGCTATGTTTGTTATAAAATGGGACACATTACAAAGGAGTGCAAGTCCATTACCAGCAAAAACAGCAGAAACCTCAACATAAAGCAGCTGGAGCCGTTTACAAAGACAGTGCTGGTAAGAAACAAGAAAAGAATGACTGGTACTATGGATGCTGCTGCCAGAGAAAAGAAAATCAAGACCACTTGTCAAATTCAATACAAGAAGACATGATCAATCAGTGCATGACTAATGGTCGGCTCAAGTTAGCAAATGGATCAACAGTATCAATAGTGATGGGAGCATATGACAAATATCAAGAGGTTCCAACTATATTGGCTATATTGGGAACAAGAAAGTGAAGGTTCTAAAAGACACTGGGTGCAGTAGTGCAGCAGTGAGAATCAGTTTAGTATCCGATGATCAGATGACAGGAAAAGTTCGCCTGTGTGTGCTAATTGACGGGACAGTGAGAAAGCTTCCCATAGCAAAAATAAAGGTGGATACTCCATATTATGTAAGAGAATTTGAGGCCATGTGTATCAAGGGACCGCTATATATGACTTGGTGAAAGGAAACATACCAGGTAGTAAGAATTCAAAGGAACTAGACAGAAAGAAGATTGATGAAGCATCTGCTGTCATCTGAAGAGCTCAAAAGAAAAGGAGCAAGCAAGATATCAAACTTCTTAATGTCTTGAAGACTGACAACTGGAATGTAGGTTCACGGGAGATGAAGAAAGTGGAGAGGAAAGACACTTCACTGCAGAATCTTCGGGAGAGGAAGTCAAGCACAAGACAAAGAGACTTACAGAACAGAGAACTGGAAAGGAGTATTGAACCAGGCCTATTCAAAACAGTTTTACTGGGGGAAGCCAAACCCAAAGGCAGTCAAGAAAAACTTCTATAAATATAATAATAAGACCAAGGATCATCATTTCAAGGTTGGACAGAAGGTTTTAGTTCTGCTGCCTACAGACAACAATAAACTCACCCGGCAATGGAAAGGACCTTGCACACTACAGGAAGTGGTCAACAGAATGCACTATAAAATGAAGGTGAATGGGATGACTAGGGTCTATCATGCCAGTCTGTTGAAGAAGTATTTTGGGAGAGAAGAAGACTTAACTGTGCAGCTGTTGATGTACAAATGGACATGCCAGGTGTGAGTGAATATTTTATTATTGTTTAGTTTTTGTTATAATAAGAGTTAAAAGCAGACGATTTTAGGAGGTTTTCTTAATAATTCATTGATGTTGAGACTATTGAACGTCGCGAGCAATACAATGACGTCGAGAATATAGAAAGCGAACAGACGATTAGGTGATAAAGAGATATAAATAGCGTAAGACGAGCGGGAAGCAGCAGACAGATAACAGCAGAATAAAGTAAAGTTACAAAAGGAAAAGTTAACTACCGTAGAAGTGATAGGCGTAATGTTTACTATGTTACAGTAAGACTAACAGTAGAAAAGAAAAATAATTTATTCCGTCAAAGCAAAATTCTAAAGTAATTGTTCTGAATATATTGTTACGACAGCGGAAATAACGTGACGCTAGTAACACGTCATGAGCTTCTGGAACAGTGGCCGGCAACCTATGACCCGCGGCAATAATTTGGCTGACCCGCCAAAAGTTGGCTTCATCATTGCAACCCG